CAACATTAAGGACGGGCAGATGCCTTCAAGCTCTCTGCTCGCGGTGATTGCCCTACAAAACACCAGGGAAGGAGAAAGAGGTTGGTTGAGGGCAAAGGGGCATTTTATTTGATAAAATCATAAGGAGCAGCGCATCCTGCAGAGGAAGAATCTCCGAGACATAAATGTCAGGTTTATGAACAATTGAGCTGCGCTGTGCTTGCCCGAAATTGCTCTTTAAGGTCAGTGCTGTAAGTGTTCCCTTGGGCAAATGGACTGCGGGACGAGCGCTGTGCGGAGAACGGCGGCTCTCCCGTCACCGAAGCGGGACCAAGACACGGCGCTGGGGCAAGGAGCCACAGCCCCGAGGGTATGGCTGCCCACACCATCCCAGCTGTCCACGTGTACAGGTTTGCGGGGAAAAAGCCTTGGGAATAGGAAGGAGCATCGGTGCCTCCAGCCCGCCAAGCCCTGCACTGGATCTCTGGGAAAGCACCAACACCGCTCTCAGAAATATGGATTTATCGGTGCGGCCACAGCGCTCGGAGCAGTCGTGCCAAGATGCTTTGCTTCACCTTGGTCCCCAAGCGCACGGGATGCAGGCAGACCCTTCTCCCAACTGAGGGCTGGGGTCCCCTGTTGCCCTGGGAGCACATCCTCCGTGGAAAAGAGTCGTTGTTTGGGCCACTGATATCCGTATCAAAATTTGGTAAAGGAAGGCTGGGAGCCGGCAGAGGAGCAACAGGAGAGCCTCAGACTATTTGGAGAAGACAATGGGCTGAGAGCACTCCAGGGGCACGTAAATCTTGAGGAAAGACCGGCCAGATTCGGCTTATCCAGCGTAGCGAATGGGCTGGCTGAGGGCAGAGGGGCTGGAGGCAGTGGAGGGGTGAGCCATCAATAAGCACTGAGAGGTCACTTCAGACCTATTTGAGAATGGGAAATCCTGGCAGGAGCCGTAAATCCTCCAGCACACCCTCGGGTGCCAACAGGGCTCCCGTGTGACACACACAGGGTCAACCAGCTCACCCTAAAGCCAGGCATGGTGACAAGAGGGCATAGCCATTGGATGGAGACCCCGGGATGCCTCCGCTCCCCCTTTGGGGATGACACCCCACGAGGTGACACACAGAGCGCTGGAAAGCAGCTTGGGGTACGAACCAGAGCAAGAAGGCACCAGGGAACTGATCTTGCAAAGGTTACAGCAAGCAGCCTTGATAGGAAGCAGGAAGGATGATGGCCAACGCGAGTTGTTTGATATTCCTCCGGGTTGTTACGACGGGGCCCTGATGGGCCATATGGTCTTGTCTTGACCCTTAAATCATCTTATGCCCTTCTAACAGCAGCGATCGCTGTTGCTGGCTTCCATTCCTTGTTATTCTTGGCACTGGGAGGCCGGGATTGTGAGGCAGCTCAACCCCGTAATGAGATGCATCAGATGGAGACCATCTGGAAGGAGCATCCAACTTTAACCTTGAGGGCTACTTGGAAAAGGACCTTCAGTCGGCAAAAGCTGTCTTCCCGCCGACAAACAGCCCTCTCTCGAATGCTCCCTGCAACACGCCAGGGTCTTGGGAGCCGTCAACCTCCGAAGAGCTCAGCATTAAGCCTCCCGCGCTCGATGTCTATGGGACGGGTTGTCCATCTGCTCCCTGCCAAGCCACCGTGTCCTCACGTGGTGGAAAAAGCGGTCGAGCGGGGCCAGAAAAGCAACTGAAGGCACTCGGGGGAAGCGGGGCAGCAGACAGCCAGGCCAGAATAAATCAATTATCCAGTGTTTCTCATCCGGAAAGGCAGGAGGGAACTTGGAGGAAGATCCAGCTCTGATCGGGAGCTGCAGGGGACGGCTCTGTCCGCTGGCATTTTGGACCTTCCTTGCTTTTCCCTTTATCTCTTGCTCCCCATTTCCATTCACCAGTAGCCAACCCTTTGCATTTCCATATTGCCATCCAGTTAAGGGCTCTCTGTGCATCTGACCGATATTGCTGACAAATCTTGCTCGGCCACCCCGAAGGAGATAAACTTTGCCATTTGCGGAAAACTCCTTTTCCAAACAGCTCTGAGGCTTCTGTCTTTGTTTCCATCCCAATTAGGAAAGAGACCCATAAAAAAACAGACTAAAGTCTTCACACCACAAGTTTCTGAGTCGAGAACCTGCTCTGGGCGGATCAAAACTTTTCCCATCAATGTGGTGGTGCTTCTGGGGGCGAAAAATCAGGAGGGATTTGCGCCACTAGCCTTAGGACCCCAATTTCACGGAGCAAAGCCCCGAAGCGCCTCTAAGCCTGCTCTGAAAGCCTAGGAAAATCTGTTACTTCAACCGTTTGCTTAAGTGCTTTTCTCAGTTATGCCTTTGTTCTTCCCATTTTTTAATTAAGACCGAAAGGCCGAGGCTGTAAGAAGAGGCACCGGGAAGCTGCAAGCAGGGGAAGAGGGAAAGTTCATTTGAATGGAAATTGAGAAGCCAAATCCTCGGGAAGGCTTTCAAAAGCCCACCTTAAACGATTTTCTTTGTTGTCGCGCGGGTTAAACACCTCCTCGGAGCTGGGATATCTGTCTTGAAATGCCTCCGCATATCTCCCCGAAGGCCATTCCCGATAGCGCGGTCCCACATGAGCGCTTTTTTGTTTTTAGCAAAGAGTTTGTGCCGGGGCCGAACAGGAGCGGGACGCAAGCGGAGAGCTGTACTTGCCTCCGACGCATCCCCAACGCCTTCGCCGCCTCTCAAAAAAACAGAGCTTCGCTGACAAAGAAATCCGAACCAGCCTAAGTACATCCCCGCTGCCTGACCCCAGACGCCGCTTCAAATTATTCGAGAAGGATCATATAAAACATCCCCTTGAGACACGCCGAGAAAAAAAGATTCATTAAGAAAGAAAAAATAAAAAAAAAAAACAGAGCAGCACTTAGGCGCAGACGATGGAAATAGCAACCCACAAGGGCTTCGGGAGGGCGAGCTTTTCTTCCCAGCGAGGATGACCGGAGGGCACAGCCCGCGCTGTGCGAGCTGCCCAGCCAGCTCTGCCGATGACAAACGTCACTGTCTCCAAGTGGAAGGATTTATTCCCAGCCGCAGACCTCTGCTGTCCAGCCGGGCTGAGTAGCATGAATCACCCACGCGCCCCAATAATTAATTTAACATCTGTCCATCCATCTCGCCCAAGTGGATGCCAACAGCCCCGGGGCAAGTGCGGGCTCAACGTCTGCGCAAGATCTCCAAGAGAAACCCAGCAGGCTCAGAGACGGTCCCAAAAGGCAACATTTCCCCCATCCTGCTCAAAACACCTACAAACTCTTAACTTCTCCAGCCGGGGTGGGACAGCAAACGAGATGAGGATGCTGTCAGATGACTTTGCTCCCACCCCTGGGGCTCACAGAAATATAATTTCCTATTTTGCCCTATATAAATCTATCAGACGCCATGCCCGACGACCCAAGCTGGCTTCCTGAGGAAGGAAAAGCCTTTCCCTGTACAGCCAGCCAGCTCATAATTGTCCACTAAAAAAGATTTAAGGCTTTCTCCAAAGCGCCTGGTGCTGGTCAAGACCTCAGAAGAGGACACTGCACCCTCCGCCACGGACAAGCCGAGGGCAGCAATTTTGGCGACGAGGGCTGGCACCGCTTGCTAAGAGAAGGGCAAACCGAGGGGCGGACGACAAGATAGGACAAAAGACACAGCTTCGGAGCAACTCCTCAACTCCTGACCCAGATTCTCCACTGCACAAAGTCACCTCTTGATGCTCTTCAAGTATCAAGGTCAAGAACGGTTATAAAGCTCCTCACACCCGCTCTCTGGCCCCAAGAAAGCTCCCGGTGGTGGAGCTCTGCAACCTTTGCCCCTTATGTCTCCCTTCCCGCTGTCAGCATCCCCGTCCTCACGAGCCCCGCGCGGGATGAAGGTGCCTTCGACAAACGCAGGATGCAGCGCTGCTAACACCGAGCCACGCGGAGAGCGTGCGAGCCACCCCGCTGTGTTATTAATACATGAACTTTGCCACCGCCCTCCCACGCTGCCTGCTGATTTTTATACCATATTGCATAATTAATCTGTCAACATTCTGTGACGAGGTATAAATATTAATAATACGATCACACAGTTGGCTGTTCCTTTTAAAATTCAAACCCTGCGAAGATAAATCGCGCACTTAATCTTAGCAAGCTTTGAAGAGTGTATTAAAAAGGGAGAAAAAATTAGGAAAAAAAGAAAAAAAAAAAAAAAGAGGATACATTTGATTTTGAAACAGGATTGTCTGTTTTTACCCGGATGCGCCCTCCCTTTCTCTCTGCCTCTCCCCGGTAGTTGCGAGTGCAACAGCAGCATTTGCTCAAACCTCAGGCTGTAGGAGCGACAGCGGGGAGAGGCGGTGGGTGAAACGCGACCGGTGTGCGAGGTGTCCCTCCCCAGCCGAGGCACGGGGCCGTGTGGTGGGACACCGGCTGTGCCTGGGACAGAGGGTCCTTTGCTGGGTGAGGTCCTCCCAACAGCCCTGCGCAGACTCAGCTGGGAAATAAGCCAGAAAGGGCTTTAAAAATCCCATCAAACAATGTCCAAAGGGGAAAAGAACATCCCCCACAGATGCTTTCAGTGTACCCACTTCCACCCCGCAGACCAGAGCTGGATGTCAAGGTTTGTGGTTACCAGCTGAGCCTACGGGAATGGGAAGCTCAAAACACCCCCATCTTCATGTATGCCTTTAAAACCACAACTCCAGAGGTCCTGATGCAGCTCGGCGCTTTGGAAAGCACCAGTCTTGAAACACAAAAGCTGTCCAAAGTAGCGCACACAGTTTCTGAGCTTTGCGACGCATACAACCTCCCAGAGCCTTCCTTAGAGGGAAGGATGCTAACTCCCCTGGCCTGAAGAAAGCCTGCGATAAACCAAGAGCTCGGAGATGATGCTCTGAACAAGCCTCTACCAGTGTCCCCGTGGCTTCCCAGCCCTGACCAGTCAGCTCTGTACACAGAAAGCTGCCCTAAGCCTTCGGAGGAGCAACGTTCCCATTCCTTCTGGGCTGCAAGACCTCAGTAACGCTTGCTGCCCCTAGACTTCTGCTCCATGCCACTTCCCACATATTTTTGATCTCCAGTTGAGACTTTGCCTCTTCCTGAGCTTTTTCTCCTCCCCGAGACAAAAAAAAGCGCTCTCTGCCCATCACGTACGTAACACCTCATGAGCCACGGGGCTCCTTTCTTCTCCGTGCCCATTTTGTCCCAGCTCAGGCACTCTATCTAACCCCTTTTTTCTTGCCAAAAGAGGATGGGAAGGAAAAAATCACAGTACCCGCAATGTACTCTGCAATACAAATAAGGCGAAGTGATGGCAAACTCTTCCTCAACACTCCAGTCACTTTGTTTTACAGAGTACCGAAATGAAAGGGATACTTTAGATTAAAAGATTTGTTTAATGGTCTGATTAATTCATTCCAAACAGACAGAGACTGTTCTGAGGATCTCTGTTAGCTCTTAACCTTTCCAGCTTGGGTTTTTTTTGTGTATAAGCGAGGATGTGTTTTAATTTAATATTCAGTGCCTGCTGCGCTCTCTCTGGGTTGGATCACATGGCTTTTCTTCTTCACACGGAGAGGGGACCAAATGCTTCTTAAAATAAACACAGAGAAGCTGGTAAACAAGGAGGGCGAAAGCGGGAGGGCTCACCTGACGGCCCGCACACGCCACGGGCAATTACCCCATTCACCCCGGTTCAGTTCACAAAATTAATTAGCACTGAACGTTGCTCGTCCATATTATTTATGAGCTAATGAGCAGGAGAAGCTGCAACTCCACCAGTGAGCGCACCAGGTGGCCGGAGGCAAGTTTCCCAAGTTCCTAGCACCCACAGAGGGAGAGGACCCCGACTCCGTGATCCCAGGGAGATGCTGCACCGAGCCAGGAATGGAGCTGGGACGTTGAGCGCGGAGGATTCAGGGAGGAGAGCTCGCCTGCAGGGATGGCACGGTACAAGAAGAAGCTGTGACATTGCTCCTAGGATTTGGGAGACCTGGGTCAAAAAGCAAGGGGTCCGGTGAGCGGCCTGTGCCTGGTCTTCACAGGGTCTGAAGGACACATGGTCCTTGGGCCACCACAGGGCAGCATGGCCCGGATGCTATCATTCATAGCAGCAATAGGGTCCTGCTGCCCTCAGCTGCCCTACTGCCCCTGGCGCCTTCTGCTCCTCCAAGGACACCTGAAGGAATGACCAATATCAGGCGTGGGCAGGACGGATGGTTTCCAGGACCGGCAGACAAGACAAGATGTGATGGAGGTTCAGCTACCGGTTGGTGAAGGCTGTCACTGTCATACTGAGATTCCAGGAGGCCTGTCATGTCATACCTGTCTCCTGCAGGCTTTGAGCTGTTTCCCTTCCCATCTCTTCTCTCCAGCTACGAAGACAGATCCCTCCTCCGATTGAAACGTAAGGCCCCTTGGTCACGAGGAGCAGGGACAGTGACAAACAAGTGCATTAGCACGGCAGGCGAGCACAAAGTGCTCTCACCAAACCCCGGAATCAGACAAACACAATGTCTTGCCCTCGCTGCTGCTGTTCCTGTCCCCGGCTGGCAGACCCCGGGCTCGGGTACCCGCAGTGTGGCATCACCCCTAGGGACACCCCGGAGATGCTCCCCGGGCTCCGCTCAAGCTAGCAGGCTGGGAAAAGACGAGGAGGGATTTAATTTCCACCCGCCGTCCTATCACTTACGCGAGATCACAGCTTCTGCTCTTGCTTTCCCTCTTCCCCCTCCTCTAGGACTGCGGAGAAATATCACCGCTCGCTTCGAGTGAGGAAGAAAGTTCAGTGGCAGCATCTGCTAAGAGCACTCCACATCTAGTGCTCACCACGTATAAGCAAACCTCGCCATCTCCCCATCTCTCCGCTCTACTATGACAGGACCAAAAAGGGTTTGCACCCAGGGATGGCGAACGAGGGGTAATTAGAGGCTCTGTTAATGCAACGGGGGCTGATTTCGGGTTGCACGGACAGCCTGCGACCCGGCGGGTCAGGGGCGCTCAGCTTGGCGATGCCGCCCCTCTTTCAGCCCGGGCATTTGCTCCGAGCTCCCCTTCAACGCGGAGTTATTTCCATCTCCAGCCTACCGTGCACGCTGCAATTAATTTCATCTAATTGGGCTTTCTGTGCCCGTTTTACTGACAGTCCACCAGTCCAGACACTACGTTAGTCCCCGCCGCACCAATTCTGACATCCGCAAATGAAACAAAAGCCAAAAAAATCAGCTGCCCAGCCAGAAAACCATTTTACTTTATTCATCTGTTTATTATTTTTCGCCCCACATGCTCACAATTATTTTCTTTTTTTCCATGCTGCTGGTTAACAAGCAGGGAAATCATATTCTAGAGTTTTTGCTTCTATACGCCTTTTTCCCTTTTTTTAGCACAGAACAGATGTTTCACACGTCAGTGTCTCTCTCGACAAAGGCAGCCTTTTTCTGTTGGGGAAAAGATGCTCCGAAGGAAATGTTCCTCCGAGCTCTAGTCCCAAATTTCTTCAGCTTTCCCCTGGCTCTTCCCGTGCCTCCAGCTAGAGCACAAGAGAGAGCGTGTCCTCTGGGCTATCCGGTCTCTCTCAAGCAGTCACTCAGCCTCACACATCGCCTTCAGGGCGGTCTCTACAAAAATGGCACAATAACGTGAACTGCCATTAAACGGCAGTAAATAACTTTATTAACTTCAACTGTAACTGTCCCATAAGGTAAAAGGAGTCCACAATTAAAGACGTAATGCGGTGTTAGACTGTTTAGTAGATATAACATCATTAAAACCCTACGGACAAAGCCACGTTGAGGTTCCACTGAAGGCACAAACCCACTCCAGCTGGCCGTTATCGCCGTGACACAGGGCAAGGACAAAGGAGGTCCCTCCAGCCGCCAACTTCAAGGAGCATCGCACTGAAAACAGCACAAGCCCAGGACATCTGGTTATTTTTTTTCCTCGCCGTATCTATCGTGCTTCTTTTCTCCCCGAGCCTCAATTGACTCGTATGAAAAATGGGGATGATAATAGCCAGCTAACGGTGGCAATCTTTGAAATATTAGCTCTGCTCGAACAGGTGAGCTGTCTCAGCTTACAGAAGCGACCCTGCTAGCATTGCCAGAGCCCCGTTTTTTTTTTCCCCCGGCCTTAACAATAAATCACCAGCTCATCCCTGCTCCGTGACAGTCAGGGAATCAGGTAAGTGGTCAACTAGCCGGGCTCTGGCCAATCCGCCCGCAGGTGTGGGTTGCTGAATATTGCAGCACTGGGAGAGGGAGGAGAGGACTGGGGCTCCCTCTGCCTCTTCCTCCGGCTTCCCTGTATGAGGAGGACCATATAGAATCATAGAATCGTTACGGCTGGAAAAGACCTTTAAGATCATCAAGTCCAACCATTATCTAAACCCTACTGGGCCCACTCCTCAACCAGGCTTGAAAGGAACAGCAAATAAGCCTCTCGCTACAGATACAGACCAAAGGAGAACACCACGCGTGTACGAGGGGGCTTCAAAACTCCAGTCTCCTCTTGCTTTAGCCACGGGACACAAACTGGTTTCACCAGTATGAAAGTATGGCCGGGACTGTGTGTTTGGCCAAGAGTTCAAGGCAGAAAACCCCCAGGAGCACATTCACGCCATTGCCTCCGACGGAGCGATCCCCGCTCCCCGGCACATCCCTGCCTCGCTCTGTGCCTGAAACCCAACGCTTGGGAGCCGCACCTCCTCTGGAGCCGCCGCGATCGGTGCTGGCACCAACCCCTTTCCGCAGGACGAGATAATGTGCATTATTTGCTAAAAGAAGTTTGACATTAATTAGCAGGAATCGCGCTGGCAGAGGCTCACGCTGCGCAGCAGATGTGACGCGGGCTCACAGCTCCTTCCCTCCCCGCCGGGTGGATGGAGGGGAGGGAGGGGAGAAGAGCTGGAGTCACGGAGTTTGTGTAACGCGTCCAGGAAGACTGCGTCAAGAGGGACCGTCACCGCCAGTGCCAAGCCAAGACATCCTCCCAGCAGCAGGCTTGATGCGTTTTAAAAGAGAAAAGCTGGGAAAGGGACAGATGTCACCCGTCATAGACAAGGCAAAGGCGGGGGGACGGCTGGCACCAGGGCTCTCCGCTCCCCCCGGGGAAACGCCGGCACGGGACACAGTCATTCGCCTTCCTCCAGAAAGTGGGTAGTGAGTGATCGAAGCACTCGCCTGAAAGCGCTTGTTCTCTCCAGAACATCAGCTTCAGATTCAAGCCAGGCAGCTCAATTCCTCATCCTCTGTGCTCGATAAACCCTGGTCCATAAAATTTATTGCATGCTTCTAGATGACAACTGCGGGGGGAAGGAAAAAAAAAAAAAAACAAACCAAACCCAATGCTGGAGTCGCTTCTCGTGTAGACAGCCTCTACAGATGGCATTGCCACGGCTGATTTACGTGAGACAAGAGGCAGGCCAAACCTGAGCGCCGTGAAAAATCCCATACCTGGGCGTGAAGAAACCCCTTCCTCTCCACGGCCCCATCTTGCTCACACACTCATCTGGGACAAGGGCCCTACTCCATGGGTCGGCTACAGCTTCCCGGGGAAAGCTCCAGCCCAGCGGGGGACTTTGGAGAAGCTGAGATAGCTCCCGGCCACCTGCGCGCCAGGCTGTACATCACTATGTAACCCACGTCCATCCATGCGGATGTACGAATCGTACACAACCGACAGGGCACAGGGCAGCCGGAGGATGGCGATGGCAGGAAACCTCCCTCTGAGCCCAGGAACGCCGCTGTAGGACCTGCTGTGACCTTTCCTATATCGACCACGAAAAGGAGTTTGGTCCTCCCGCATTACGCACCAAGCAAAGCCAAAAGAGAGGATGGTCAGCCCCGGGGAAAGTCTAGGGTCTCTCCGTGTCCAAGGAAGGGGGGGTAAGAGAGCTACCACTGATGGTAGGAGACAGAATAAAACCCAGCATCCACCAACCCTGAGAAAAGGGCAAGGGCTCGAGATAACTGGGATATCTGTAACGCAAGACGAGACACGGACAGGTCTAGAGCACCTCGGGGAGAAGGGAGCAACACT